CCGTCGACCTACACTACTGGCAGACAAACAACCTCGAGTGGTACGACCCCGAGGCGATCACGACCCGGAATGGCTCGCTGGAGATCACGCTCTCGAAGAAAGCTAATCACGATCTGAACTTCACCGGTGGTATGATGTCGACCTGGAACAAGTTCTGCTTCACAGGAGGCCTCGTCGAAGCGCGCGTGATGCTACCTGGGTACAACAATGTGCAGGGTCTGTGGCCCGCCATCTGGGCGATGGGGAACTTGGGCCGCGCTGGGTATGGTGCCTCGCTCGAAGGGATGGTGAGTGTGCGCGGGTCGATCAGGATGAGGGTGGCTGCTCACCGGTGGTATGCAGTGGCCCTACACTTACGACGCGTGCGACGTCGGGACGGCGCCCAACCAGACCATCAACGGACAGCCGATCGCGGCCACTGTCAACGGCGACGAGGGCAATGGTGGCGTGCTTTCCTTCCTTCCTGGGCAGCGGCTCTCGCGCTGCACTTGCCCCGGGGAGTCGCACCCTGGCCCTGTGCACCAAAATGGAGAGTACGTTGGCCGCTCGGCCCCCGAGATCGACATGTTTGAAGCTCAGGTGAGCCTAAGCACCTCTGAACGCATGGAGCGAAGGGCTTACCCGTGGTGGAAAGGTTGGCGGCAGCGGAGCACCAGGCAAGGTTGGCGCTGTCTCGCAATCAGCTCAGTGGGGTGTACGTAGGAGAGGTGTACGCGCCAATGCTCTAGCTGACGATTCTGACTTCGATGCAGCCGTTCAACCATGAGTATATATGGCTGAACACTTCGGATAACTTGGTCATCACCGACCCGACGAAGAGTCAGCTGAATAGCTATCGGGGAGGCGCTTTCCAGCAGGCAACATCGGTGGTCACAATGACAAGTAAGCCAATTTTGAACACCCAAGCCTCCATACGAGTTTTGACCGACGCATGGCACAGACCAAGAAGCATACGAGTTTAGTGGTGGCCAGTATTCGGTTTATGGCTTCCAATACAAGCCAGGATTTGGCGATGCTGTATGTGACTTCGTCCCGCGTCTTACACGAGTGCTGATCCGGGTCTCGCCCAGTACATAGGATGGATAACGGATGGCCAGCTCGCGTGGATGATGCGGCAGCCCGGCATGGCGGCGGACAACATCGTGGAGATCAGTGACCGACCTGTGCCCCAGGAGCCGATGGTACTCACAATATCGCTTAACCCGCGTACGACATGCTGACCTTTGCTCCATTAGTACTTGATCATGAACTTGGGCATGTCGAAGAACTTTGGCTTTGTTGATTTCGATCATCTGAGCTTCCCTTCGACACTGCGGGTGGACTACATCCGAGTATACCAGGAACCGGGCAACCACAACATTGGCTGCGACCCGCCTGACTTTCCTACTGAGGCGTATATCAATGAGTACGTCGGCTTTGCTGCCAGGTACACTGATTGGTAGATATGAATACTGACGTCTACCAGGTATATGGAGGCATATACCAACCCGTTGCTCACCACCTGGGTTGACGATTTCAAACAGTCTGTCCCGAAGAACAAGCTCGTCGACGGGTGCAACTGAGGCAACAGGACTGGGCCCTGTATTCCTATGATACCATTACATATTACCGGAGGTGCGGCACTTGTTCACCGTGAGTGCCTTTACCCGTCGTGCAATCGCGGACGATTACCTCCGCGCGATGCTCACGCCCTGCTCCCAGAGTTGTCTTTGGATGATTGTACATTTCTAGGCAATATATTCTTATTTCGTCGGTATAGCTTTAGTCCTTGCAGTGCAGATGCAGGCGTTGCATCTGTCAGGGTGGCGAGGAGGATGGCAGAAGTCGACAGTCGCAGGACAGCGATGAACATTTCTCAAGATGCGCACTCGAACAAGGACCGCCGGGAAAGGGATGCCGCCTATTTCTGGGTGGGCGCTGATTGGCTGGTGGGCGAATGCGGCAGGTGGTTCCCACGGTGTGAGGTGTCTTGGTCGGCGGGGCTCTGCGCATCTTGACTACCACTCAGACGTCGCAGACGCAACCCTTCCGCTCTTTATCCCCCTCCTCCTCCTTCTGTACCACCAGCCGCTCGCTCTCTCTCCCGTATACCCTCTGCTTGCTCATCGTTGCGCTCGTTCTTCATAGACACGCCCGGTCACGCACAGAGTCGCCATGGCGTCGTTGCGCCCCGACCCGCAGATGCGGTATAACCAACCCAACTCACCGTCCACCACGAATCTCCTTACTCCCTCGGGTGCTTCGGGCGTGCAGGCCGCGCTCGCTCGCGGTCCTCAGCTTCGTAGCATGGCCAGCGACGCATCTCTCGTGAGTCTCCCCCTACCGCTGCCCACAGGCTACCGTTCTCAGGCTCATTCTATACGGTCAGAACGAGTCCAGGTACTCGGGAAAGACGACCTCTATGCCCGTCTCGCTCTCGGACAAGGTGCGTTGCTCTCCCAAATGTCACCCGAGACGGTCTGACATCCCCAACCTCCTCAGTTCTCTCTTTCTCCCGATCCTTCGTCATGGGGCGCTGAGCTCTCTATCGATCATCCCGAAGGTGATGACTACCTTCACAACCCCGACCCACGAAGGGACAGAAAGAACGACCAGGGCGGACACATCTTCACTTCCAGAGGTCTTGTCAACCTGGGATGCTTGTTCATCCTTGGAGCCGGCCTGCTAGCACTCTTGTGAGTTGACTGTTCCTTCTCAGTCATATCGGGTCCTGAACGTTTCTCTCCCCAGTGCTGGATACCCGATGATCAGCTACTTCACCAAGCACCCTCTGTCCACCATCGGAGGTTTTAACCTGGGAGGTATCAACGCGACGGGCCAGGTTCCTTCGATGCCTGGCAACTGGGGGCTCATCGACCTTGATACTCCCCAAGAGGCCTACACTTACCCGGCTTACACTGGCGGCAAGGACTGGCAGCTCATATGGAGTGACGAGTTCAACGTCGAGGGCCGCAGTTTCTATCCTGGTGATGATCCGTACTGGGAGGCAGTCGACTTGCACTACTGGCAGACAAACAACATGGAGTGGTACGACCCAGCCGCTATCACTACGAAGAACGGCTCTCTCCACATCACCCTGAGCCGCAAGGAGACGCATGGCTTGCACTTCCAGGGCGGGATGATGTCGACGTGGAACAAGTTCTGCTTCACTGGTGGCATGGTCCTGACCTCAGTCGTTCTTCCTGGTGTGAACAATGTTCTCGGTCTCTGGCCGGCCATTTGGACGATGGGCAACTTGGGCCGTGCCGGATACGGCGCTAGCCTGGAGGGAATGGTATGTGTTTTCTTGTACGAATCGGCCTACGAGCTGACCTCCGTGTAGTGGCCGTACACCTATGACTCTTGCGATGTGGGCACGGTGGCGAACCAGACCCTCAACGGACTTCCTCTGGCAGCTACCGAGAACGGTGATAAGTCCCAAAACGGCGTGCTGTCCTTCCTCCCTGGCCAACGGCTCTCACGGTGCACTTGCCCCGGGGAATCGCACCCGGGACCCATCCATTCGGATGGAACTTACGTCGGTCGTGCTGCCCCTGAGATTGATATCTTCGAGGCTCAGGTAGAGAACATACCCAGGTATCTGGTCATTCCGTTTATCTGACCCCCTGTTCTAGATCAGCGGTGACCCTCTGACCGGTCAGGTTTCACAGTCTGCGCAGTGGGGTGTAAGTGGCCCGCTCTAGTATCATCGTGTCCCGCTGACAGTACTTCGCAACAGCCCTTCAACGAGGGATACACCTGGTTCAACACCACCGAGAACCTCATCATTCCCAACCCGGATATCAGCGAGCTCAATAGTTACAAGGGTGGTGTATTCCAGCAGGCCAGCTCCGTAGTCACTGAGACCAGTAAGTCTTGTGTGCACTATCTGCGCGACCTCCATCTCACAGTCTGAACAGACCAGGAGGCATACGAGGGAACCGGCAACGTGTTCTCCGTCTATGGCATCGAGTACAAGCCTGGCTTCGACGATGCTGTCAGTAATGTCATCGGTTTAGTACCGATGGCCATTCCTAACCCATGTGTATCATCTAGTACATCACCTGGATAGCAGACGGCAAGGTCGCCTGGACGCTGAAGCAGCCTGGGTTCGCGGCCGATACTGCGGTCGAGATCGGTCCTCGCCCTGTTCCCCAAGAGCCGATGGTGAGTATCACAAGTGGAACCGCATGCATCGCCCATCTCTCATGCTGAACCTGCCGTAGTACCTCATCGCCAACTTGGGCATGTCCACCAACTTCGGTTTCGTCGACTTGGATCACTTGCAGTTCCCCGTGACGATGAAGGTCGACTACGTCCGTGTCTACCAAGACCCGGACAACATCAACATAGGTTGTGACCCTCCGGACTTCCCTACGGCGGCGTACATCAACGAGTATGTCGTATACCCCTCTACGCGCTGCGTAAGCTAATAATCGTATCAGGTACCTCGAAGCGTACACGAACCCCAACCTGACGACGTGGCGAGACGACTTCAAGCAGCCCTTCCCGAAGAACAGTTTCCTAGGACAGTGCTAAGCACGCCTGTCTTGACGATATCACCTGTTCCATTCCACGGAATCTGTGCTTGCATGTCCTGAGCTCGACGTACTCTCACCAAAGAGACTGTCTTGAAGAGCTGCGGATTTTTCGGCAATCCCGCCCGCCGTCGCTGTCCGTGTCCGTGCCCGTGTCCGATCGTTACCCGTACTCGCTCGAACCCTCCCGTTGCATCTGTATTCTCGCATCCCATCGCACTATCTTATCTTTTCATCGAACCTTTTTACCGTCTTGATTCTAAGGCTGGCCACCTCTCATATCTACTACTCTGCAGTCGTCTTCTGTTCTTTCGCCCGACTGCTTCTATTTCTCTCACAGTTGTGGATATAGCGTAGAAGTCGTCAGACAATATAGGGAACTGTCCTTTCTTTTGCGTGTGGGCCCAAGAGAAGAAATATCTCCTTCGGTCTTGCAGCTGCGAGCTTTGACACGAAGTGTCGAAAAGAGAAAAAAGACGTCGCCTCCCTGGCGGGGAGTCGAACCCCGCTCTCGCGCGTTCGAGTCAGCTATCCAGAGATGACAGGCGCGTGTACTATCCGATATACTACCAGGGAGTCGTGGGAACCCATTAGCAGGCAGCTATGAGCCAGGAATGCCTACGGCGACGTTTTTCAATCCGTTCCACATGTATTACATCGTGCAGTCCCTTGGCATATCGTAATGACATACAGTATGTTCGTCCTACCGCTATAGGCATGAGGTCCTGAAAGTGAGAAGTAGTCCATAGGACGTGCAAGCGTGAGCAGTACAGTATAATCCGCTCGAAGCCTACAAGGCGTGTGGCGACTGCGCGGAGGATACAGAGCGGCGCGGGTGGATGTCCTCCTTGGCTCGGACGTCTAACGTCACTGGCAGGTTATGGTATCGCTGGAGATCGTAAGCTTCTGACCGCCCGATGCCACCGACGTCGTTCGGCAGCCAGATCATGGGAGGTGGCGCAAGAAGCTCGGGGGCGTAAAGCACGCCGGCCATCTCCTCTGCGTGGTCGGCGAACGGAAGGGGAGGGAGGTGTGGAGGTGCATCAGGATTCGTGCGAGCCGCTCTTTCGGTCGCTGTGAGGTCGTCAAGATTTTCGGTTTCTGCGTGAGAGTTAGCTTCGAGTACGAAACCAGCAGCATGATGCCCTACCGAGTGGTACGGGCCCCCTGGTCTCCGAGGCAGATGGAGAGACCGCGAGCGTCACGGACATCATCTCTAACACAGAGGCGAAGGAGCCTCGCGCACGAGTATTCCTAGCGGAGCTGACGAGGCTCGTGCTCTCCTCATCGACGTCCCGACGTTTGCCAGGCATGGCAGTTTGCTGGAACGTTGCCAGGGAGTCCACGGTGATAGGGGATAGAGACGCCAGTCCGGGACGAGACGTCCTCCATGAGCAGAAGCTCTCCACGACGAGGACGACGAAAAGGGCAGCCCCACACAGGATGCCACCTTCGACCCATAGTCGCCTACTTAGGAAGATGAGGCCGAGAAGCAGCGGCTGGAACGCGAGGACGGTCCCAAGACGGCGAAGGAGCCATATGTACAGGAGACCGCCAGTCTGCGATAACGTCCTTCCGTAGACGTAACCGACCAGGTATCTATGGGCTGATGGTTCAGAACTGTCAGCATACAGGATATCCTCCTCCTAGATAGACACTCACCGATGAGTGTCAAGAAAAGTAGCAGGAGCACAGCAGGAGCAAGCAAAGGGAAAATCAAAGCAAACGCGGAAGCGAATATGATGGCGAGCACAGAACAACTAGTGGCATAGGAGGGATCATAGGTCCTGGGGTACACAGCTAGAGAAGTCTGAGTCAAGAGCACACAGAGCGTAGGGACGGGTACGCACCTCTGAAACGCTGACGGGGTGTAACAGCGGCTTTCTCTGCGCGGGCGACCTTCCAGAGTCTGATAGGTTGCAGCAAGAGCAAGCCGGGGAAGATGATCGCGACATTGAGGACCACGACTAGTGCGAATGCGCTCATGTAGATTGCCCCATTCGCCACGGATGGCGCTTCATCAAGACTGGTGCTGAGGGCGCGCATGGAGAAGAGAATCGCGCCTGTCGTGAACATCCAGGCGCCCCCTACCACTAAGAGCGTGTAAAACATCGTCCGGAACATGAGGAATTGGGACCCTGACACCGACACCGTACGTGTCATCGGGGTAAGTTCTGGTTACGTAGATCGGTAAGCAGTTCGATGAATCAACTGCCACGGTCACTTACGATGGAGGACCATAAAGGCTATGGCGGTGAACAGCGTCGCGGCGACGGCAGCACCCAGGGTCGACGCTACTCCAGCTCCTAGCTGGTTGCCCGTGTTGAGGGGCATGAAGAAGGGGAAGTAGTGGGCGAAGTCTGGGGCAGTAGCCACTGCAAGGCCTGATACTGCAGTCACTGCTCGACTGCATGTTAGTTGAGCCCTCGCCAGCCTGAGGTTAACACGCACATCCGATACCAAGCAGGATACCGATCATGATGACCGCCAACCACCACATGAAGTCGCTTGTCCAGTCGCCTTCATTCTGCAGCTCGTCCCACCGGATGTCTTCCTTTGCCCGGCCCTCGATGAGCTGAATGCCAGGAAGATGCCTCAGCCCACGTCCGATCATAAGCCAACCCTTGATCCTTGCGCCGTCTGCGATATCATTATAGCACTCCCTCTGCACCTCCGCAATCTCTGTGTTGATGACCTTCAGTTTCCACCGCCAGTGGTTGATGTCCGCATATATCTGTCCGAGCTGGTCATGGTTCAGTCCGGATAACGGACGCACGAACGGTTGCCGCGGCTGCAGGCGCAGGTGAGGTGGGGGCACTTCTTCAGGAGCGGTAGGGCCTGAACGGTTCCGCATCGGGAACGTCTCACGATGCTCCTCAATCGGCGTCCCCGCCCCAGTCCGAGTGCGCGGCGGTCGGGGGCGTCGGCGTGCCTCGGCCGGGTACTCCTCGGCATGTTGGAAGGCTTCCGGGTCTTCCTGCGCGACATCGTGCCAGTCTTCTTCCGGCTCCTCGTCCTCAGGAATCGCCTCTGGGTGCTGCTGTTGGTTCTGATACCAAGGCTGCGGGGGCACGGCTTCGCTGAAGCCTGTAGTATCCCACGACGCATGCCGGTCTTGCTCGTACAGACCCGTGTCGGGAACGGGCGAGTCGCTAGCGGTGACCGGGGAGAGCTCCCCGCTGTTGTCGACCTTGAGCTGGCTTCCGATCGGGAGGCGTCCATATGCCATGGAGTTGCGGTTAACTTCCTGGAACCGACTCCCGACGATGCGCCTGCTGACACTATCCGTGAAACTGGTCTGACGAGAGCGACGGGAGGCCGACGAAGGGAGGTCCCTTTCCGGGTCTGTGAAGTGGCCGCCGGAGATGCCACCGAGGTCGGTGATCTTGTAAAACTGGTAGGGCATCACATAGGACGTCGGAGGGAGAGAAGAGGATGCATATGCCGGATTACGGCCTCTGCGCCTGCGACGGTGGCTCTGTCCAAGGCCATGAGGAGACGCGTTCCGCAAAATGTGTAAGTACTCACCACAGCGCTGGAAAGCGGAAGAGGACGGCTTATGGGCGGCCTTGGCGGACCTTCGGGTTCCACCTTCGGCGGGGGAACAGGCGGCTCCCAATCGGCCATGGAGGGTTCCGGCGTAGTCAGACGGAAGCTGTTGATGTACTTGGTCTCTGCTACCTCCAAGTTCTCGAGGACCTCATCTCGCTCGTCAATGAGAAGGGCAAGGTGCGCAGTATCGCTTGGAGAGGCGTGAGCATCGTGGTCAGTCACTATCAGACGTGAGCGTACATACCCGATAGAGAACAGCGACTGTATATCGATCTCAAAGTCGCCTCGCTCCTCGTTGTTGAGCTCCTGTGCGCGCCTGCGGCGCCTTGAGCGTGCGTTACGGTCGTTTGCGTCAAGGCAGGAGCTGAGGCCGATCTTCACGAGGTAGTCCTTCAGCCGCTTCTCACCCCACCCCACGAAGCCCGGAGCGCGCCGTGCGCTCAGCCAGCCCATCTCCAAGCCCTGACAGCGCACTTCGACCCACCGCTCGCGATACGCCACCATCCGATTAAACTCCTTCAAGATCTTCCAAAGCACGGGGAGCAGGCCGAGCACGATGGCAAGCACCGTGGCGATGATTATGCGGATGCGGGCGTTGGGGGCCGCGTCCCTGCCGTTCACGATTTCTCGCGAGGCGAGGGTGCCGATGTCGGCGGTGGTAACTTGGCCCGCGTCGAGCAGATGGAGGAGGCGGAGGAGGCTGAGATCTTGCAAAACGGAGTACGCACCGGTGTAGCGAGCTCTCGGGATGGAATCGGCGAGGCAGGGAGTGGAAACCATGTACAGAGGCAGGAAACCCACTAGCGCGAGGATGGTCCAGCCCGCAGCGATAACGGTACAGATCCACAGAACGCGTTGGCTGAGCTGTTCATCGGAAGGGAAGAGCGCAGCGTCCTTCGCGGGCGAGCGACCTGCGTCGGACACGTCCGAGGGGAGTGAGGGGACCAGGGGAACATGAGGAAAGAGGAAAGCCCAAAAGGACCGACCCAGAGGTTTAGGCCGGAAGCTGGGACGCGTCAATCGAATTCTGTATGTATGCAGTGCCTTGTGCAGACGCACCTCTGCTGCACAAACCATTCTCTGAGACCATACACTTGTCGATAGCGCGGACGTAGGATAGCAAATAATAACTGACCCCGAGCAGGTCAGACGTCATGCCTCCACTCTTACAACCGGGCGCGGAGATGTGCAACCACTCACCCATATCAATAAGCCAATAACCGATGGGATAACAAGAGTAGCGAGCAGACCGAGCGAGGACGCGTCCACTCCGTCGCCTATGCAGACTGGTTCAACAAGTGCTGCGGCTTGGACGGTCTCACTGTCAGGAAACGCGGTGAACACGCGTGAAGAGGTGACTGTAGATAGCGAGAACGAAGTAAACGTCGTAGAAGGATCGGAGACAGCGATCGGGACTGAAGTAGTGAATGTGGTGAGGCTAGAACTGAGAAATACAGGTCCGGAGGAGGCGGAGCTGGGTGGTATGGGAGAAGTGGACGTATGACCGCTCGAGGTCGTCGTCACAGAAGGTCTAGATGTCGTGGGTATCGCTGAGGGGTTCGCAGACGGAGATGAAGCGGCTACGGAGGAGGATGAAGTTGCGGTCGGTAGGAATGTGGAGCCATCGCTTGTGGACCACCACTGGTTTTTGAGAGCGGAAGACATGATGGAGGTATCGTCATGAGCTTGTCGTCGCAGTCGTCGAGAGAAATGAATGACGGAAGGCGTGGGCGGGGTCGTCATGAAAGGCAGCCCCGAGGGCGTGGTATACAAGGTACAAGAGTCGTCAGGCAGCGAACGCGAACGCTCGCGACATCCAACCTTCCCTCGCCATCCACCACCATCCTTGCCTCTTTCGGCAACTCTTACACGCCCATCGGCCTCCGCACGCGGGCCTCCATTCAGCCGCACAAATAGCAGCGGCGCAGCTATTGTGGCCATTACACGCGCTGTCGCGACCATAATTGAGGTACAGTGCAGCTGCGGAAATTTATGTCGATAGAATTATGCGTGGTACAACGAGA